TCCCTTACATTGGTGGTCAGTGAAGGACACCCCCTTACATTGGTGGTCAGTGAAGGACACCCCCTTACATTGGTGGTCAGAGAAGGACCTCCCTTACATTGGTGGTCAGTGAAGGACACCCCCTTACATTGGTGGTCAGTGAAGGACACCCCCTTACATTGGTGGTCAGTGAAGGACACCCCCTTACATTGGTGGTCAGAGAAGGACCTCCCTTACATCGGTGGTCAGTGAAGGACACCCCCTTACATTGGTGGTCAGTGAAGGACACCCCCTTACATTGGTGGTCAGTGAAGGACACCCCCTTACATTGGTGGTCAGTGAAGGACACCCCCTTACATTGGTGGTCAGTGAAGGACACCCCCTTACATTGGTGGTCAGTGAAGGACACCCCCTTACATTGGTGGTCAGTGAAGGACACCCCCTTACATTGGTGGTCAGTGAAGGACACCCCCTTACATTGGTGGTCAGTGAAGGACACCCCCTTACATTGGTGGTCAGTGAAGGACACCCCCTTACATTGGTGGTCAGTGAAGGACACCCCCTTACATTGGTGGTCAGTGAAGGACACCCCCTTACATTGGTGGTCAGTGAAGGACACCCCCTTACATTGGTGGTCAGTGAAGGACACCCCCTTACATTGGTGGTCAGTGAAGGACACCCCCTTACATTGGTGGTCAGTGAAGGACACCCCCTTACATTGGTGGTCAGTGAAGGACACCCCCTTACATTGGTGGTCAGTGAAGGACACCCCCTTACATTGGTGGTCAGTGAAGGACACCCCCTTACATTGGTGGTCAGTGAAGGACACCCCCTTACATTGGTGGTCAGTGAAGGACACCCCCTTACATTGGTGGTCAGTGAAGGACACCCCCTTACATTGGTGGTCAGTGAAGGACACCCCCTTACATTGGTGGTCAGTGAAGGACACCCCCTTACATTGGTGGTCAGTGAAGGACACCCCCTTACATTGGTGGTCAGTGAAGGACACCCCCTTACATTGGTGGTCAGTGAAGGACACCCCCTTACATTGGTGGTCAGTGAAGGACCTCCCTTATGGGTCCATCAAGTTCAGCCTCTGTGTATGAGAGTTTTATGTGTTTCATTCAGAGGAAGGCCAAAAAAAAAAGTGACCTTTTATGAAACAGCCAACAACGGGCACGGTCAGCTGCAACGTCCCGACACCACAACGCACCCCCATGCACAGAGGAAGGTCTGCACTGAGCACTACAAGTTGTGTGGGACTCGGGTTGTCATGCAGTGAGGTGTGCAGCCACATATACAGTATATAGTATACAGGTGATTACTGCCGCTCATAGAGGACAACACGGTGCACATGGAGGGTCATATACAGTATATACTACACACACACTGTATATATATATATATACTCTGCAAGACGTGGCGCTGTCACTGGTGCGGTGGATCACATATTTTGGGGTTACATTGCCAGCAGTGGCTGATCTGGGATGCCGAGCGCAGCTCGTGTGAGTCATGTGCGATCTCCGGCGGCCTATCTCTGCGAGCGTCACTGCGGCCGCCACATCCTCTCACGCCGCGAATGACTGTTGATATGCAGGAAACCGCAGCACAGCGATTACCACGCCACCTCCACAGGTTGCAGACACTCATCTATGATGATGAATAAAACGTTCCATCGCTTTGCTAGGGGGACATTTTCCTTGTCGTGTCATATGAAGAGACGTGTCCCGGGGTCTGTACATACGTGTGGAAGCCGTGACAACAATGACCAAACG